ACCAATCTTTAGAATATTGTTTATTAATCAATTGGCAAACAAAAAATATAAAATCTTTTACAAAATGCCCCAATTCCAATTGTATAATAAAGTGCTGAAAATATTTTCAATAGACAACTAAAGTTCTTGTAGAAACTAGTATTTTTAGACTTCAGATTATTATATGAAACTTCTAATCTTTTGATTTCAATTAAATGTAATAAAAAAAAAATCAGAGTCAATATTTCTAAAATAATATAATATCCACATATATCTCATATATTAACATAATATCACTATTATCAATATAAATTATTGAATATAGATCAATAATTCAAATTTTGATTTTAAAATTATATATATATATATATATATATATATATTGTACTTTATAATTTCAACCATTTTATTGTAATTTGTACCAATAGTATCAACATTCTATATGAGAATGATTTTTTGATATAATAATTTATATTCAAAATTTACTTCATCTCCAATAAACCTCATCTTACTTCAAAAGAGAGAAGGATACAAATTAAAAATAAAAAATATTCAAAAAATTACTTGCAAGAAATTCTACTGACAAAATTTGAGCCTTGGAGCTTTGAAAAATTATTCAAATATTGGCTACTAAAAATAAAAAATTAGACCATAGTACTTGATTCAACAATAAATAGATTTCATATTTAAAAGGCTTCATGTAATTTCTTCAATTTTAATAACATTCAAACATGTCAATAAAGTGTATGTTCTTTGAAATTGTTTTTAAAAAATTGATGTCATTCTTCTAATCATCCTTGTAAAATTATACATTTACTAATAGCAATATGTCTCTCTCTTATTATTTTTTCCACTAACATTACAAATCTCATTAACTTATATTATTCCAATCAAACACTTATTTCTTTGTCTCCTCGCACAAACAAATCTTCCATCACATAGTTAGTACTCTCCTTTAAGTTGTCATGTACTCATCAAATTGTGCACTCAAAACATTGAAAAATTATGAAGTTAAAATTATTACAAACAACTATAAGTTGTGGAATTAATACATCCAACCTCCAAATAAACAAGCAAACTTCCAAAATAAAAATATGCATATATATCAAAAATAAGGTTGTAGTTGTAATAATTTGAATAAAGAAATTTGGCAATGGTGTCAATCAATAAATATATATATATATATATATATATATATATATTGATGAAATAATAAAAGCAATGTCATAACATACAATATTTGAATTAGATTGATGTACTTCATATGTTCTTCATAATATACTCACCTTTTGATGTCAATAAGATAAATCTTTAATTTAAATAGAAAAAAATAAAATAAAAAATCTAGCCAAATTCTAGTCTTTTGTCATTCATACAACATACATTAAACATTCTCTTATCTATAATCTATGCAAATGATTCTAATATAAAAAAAGTGTAACACTATTGTAGATGTATTCTATTCCATTAATATTGACATGAAGATTTTGTAGTATAATATAGAAAGATACATATTTTCAATTGTAATTTTTGTCTTATGCAACATCCATCTCAATACAACATCCATCCATACTCAACCTGCCACATATAATATTTTGGTTGTCAGATTCCAACCATAATATTGGAAATATATAAAAAAAAAATATTTGCAATACAAAAGAAAGATTCAAAAATAGCTTTGTTTTTTGAATCCCAGATTTCACTACTTTCTTAGATCCAAAAATCAATATTATTTCACCACTATTTATTTGTAGTGGTAGCAAGTACAACGTCTTCTTCAATAGAAATTTTTACTCTCAACCATTTTCATGTACAAATAAATAATTGTATACACTTATGGTCACAAATACAAAATCTATAACCAAAAATAAGTCCACTACCTCAATAAAAACAAGACAAAAAAACGAAAAAATAAATTCCATCTACAATAAAATTTATTTGCAAGCTTTTAAATCCAAATGGACTATGAGATTAAACACAATACAATGGCTTAGAACAAAATTGCAACTTGCAATGAAGGGCACAACACAATTACTAGTAAAAACACCTTATACATAGGCTACAATCTTAGAGGGCATTTCTAGCAATCAAAGAAGTTATTCTTAAAATCTCAACAACTCCAATAATTCCAACAACTTCCAACTATTTTGTGTTTCTAAGTTTTTAGAATTCCATCATAATAGCCAATCAAATTACAATTTTGTCTCTTTATCTTATAATAAAATTGTTTTATATAATAGATATAGATAGATATAAGATGTTACTAAAGCAGCATCACTATGTTGTGAATGCAACACCTTCTTGGATTCTCATGATTAATTCAATCTATCTTTGTTCCCAACTCATGTCCCAATCTTCCATTGTTGTTCCTAGTATGTGTCCCTTGTTTACATTTCTTATCATTGTGAATGACAACATTAACCTTAAATACGATTGTATTTTAAAAAAATAAAATAAAGACGAAGGATAGGGATGGGAACATGGAATGGGGATGGGGAGTCAAGATGGAAGACAGGAACTGGAGTATAGGAAGTAAGGAACAAGGGACATGAACTAGGGATGATGATAAGGTTGGGAACTAAATTAATCATGAGGACGTAAGGGGGTGTCTCCCTAAAAACAAGGAGGTGTTGCTTTAGGCACTTCCTATATATATATATATATATATATTTAAATATATTGCCTATGCAAAATTTTCTAAAATTCATGAAGACTGCTATTTACCCTCTAGGGCTTGTGCTGACAAACAATTACTCCAGTCGGAAATAAAACCTTGGTTCTTTACGGCAACAATCACCATGCCTCCCAAGGGAACAGCTGTGAGCTATTTCGAAAGGAAATGGAATGGAGGGTCTTGACTCCCATTTTGTCAGCATAGATGGCCACGGCATCCTCTGGATAAATCAGTAACATTCGAAACATGTTCCTTGAAATTGCTCCTCTCCCGAAGAATGACAAGTATTGGTGACAGGGTTCCACGAGATTCCCCACCATCTCATCATGATCATAAGGTGTCTCGTATACTGCTGCGGAAATGCAGAGACCGCCGAATACAATTATCACCCCAAGGATGACTTTCCGTTTCAAGTATAGCCTCAAACAAAGCCATTAGTTGAAGGAAGGTCAACAAACCCTTATGGATGTCAGAAATTGGAATGAATTTCGCAGTAAGACAAGTACAACAGACAATGGCATGATGAACGTAATTCCAACTCAGCTCCTAAGAACCAGATGATTACTAATGTCCGACATAAAACTGCGGAGGTTCATAAAGTCACAAAAGAAAACCTGGGTGGCAAACACCACACGATACGAAGACCTGGACGAGCAAGATGAGCGTGAAAGAGTGCTTTTGGATGGCTGGACAAGAGGGCTTCGGTGTAAAGGATCCTCTGTCTCAATGCTCCGCACCCGGCCCTGCTGGAATGGATGCTCCGATAACGAATACCTTGGATAAATCTCACTATATCATCACTTCCATTCCACTTCCCGTTGAGGTGATCCGGCAGCCCCGGTGCGACTGACTATGGCAAATGGGTTCTTTCTGACACTCGGGAGAAAGCAACGGAGGAATGCTGAACAGATAACAAATCCGAACTGATAGGATCCTTTCAATGTTTCTTTAATGTGTGAAGTTGTAAAACCATCTGGAGAATGACGTTACTGCAAGTAGATTCCAAGTGTGAAACAGGTTGTGGTTAGTTACCTGTATAATCGTATGTATTCAACAAGCAGGCTTCACCCTAAACAGTTACAGCGTAGACATATGTTGAGTAAATATGGATTTCATGAAGATTTATATAATGAACATTAATGATCCTCTTATTCGTTGAAACGATTTGTGATCCTTTGAATATAGTTGGATGTGGACGTGATTTTAGAGGCCTAAAATTTATTAATTTTGTAATTGTTGTTATCATTCCCTCTTTTTTTCCCCTTTTTTCCTTTTTTCTTCATGCTTATTGCAGTTTTTTGTCACTCGGGTCTAGAAGGGTGGACCTTCATCTGGCATTGGTGTCTTTTGCATGGAGAGTTCATCTCCTTACACACATTGAGAAAGATAGTTTTTTTTTTTTTTTTTTTTTTTTTTTTTTTGTTTTTTTTCCCCCTTTTTTCGTATTTCGTACACTGTTTGTTTGTTTATGTGTGTTTATGTGTGTTTTTTGTTTTTGTTTGTTTGTTTGTTTGTTTGTTTTTTTTTTTTTTTTGTTATTTTCTGCTACAAGTGCATTGGATTTTTCACTTGCTTTGGATCAATTTGCCATCGAAGTAGCTGGGTTGGTGGAAGAACGAGAAAAAAAATGTGTCCCATGGAATACTGGGAGTGGGGCTTGAACATACCAAGCCACCAGGAAACACATGAACATGAAGCCAGAACAGGCAACGCAAAGGATGAAACGAAGGAAAGCAGGGAGGCAGGATAGTGAAGGGGAAACGGCGCGCAGGAGGAACGGAGCAAGGAATTCAAGCAACCCCGGAATGGGAATGGCACTATCATTGTGGCCCAGGGTGGGTGGGTGGGTGTGTGTGAGAGAGAGAGGGATTCGTCTGCAGGGAGGGGCTGGGGGACGAGGACGGCGGAGAAGGAGGTGGAGAGGCGGACGGGACGGGAAGGGGGAGGGGCCTTGCAAGGTCCATATGCATCCGTTCTCGCCTGGCTGGCTGGTTGCCCCCCCCTCTGCCCTGCCCTGCCCTGCCCTGCGCTGCCCATGGCAGGCAGTCTGCCACTGCGTCGTGAATACTGACTGACTGGCAGATCCACCCAGCGCAACACCCCCACCATCACCATCACCCATCTACCAACAGCAGACTCTCTCACACCCTCTCTCTCTCTCTCTCTCTCTCTCTCTCTCACTCTGAGTGAGTGTCCATCTGCTTGTCTCCCTGTAAACGAGTGCGCGTCTGTCCTCTCTGTTCAGAAATGGATGGATGGCTGGATGGATGCTCCGACGAGGGCGCCCCAGGGGTTGGGGGGGGGGGGGGATGGGATATTCGTCCGCAGAGGACGGGCTGCCTTTTACCTTGCGTCGCCTCTTTCGTTTGAGCCAGCCTTGCAAGCCCCCCCTTCCTCTACCAGCGTTTGCCTCCTCGCCTCTCCCCCCGCCAGATCTGGCCATGTGTAGATCTGCCATTTCGCGCTCTTCCCTTGCTCACCAGGTTCTCTTTCGCTGCTGTCTGGGATTGCGCTTGGATTCGGGTAAGGCGCCACCTTCTTCATCAGTTTGGGCTTGTTTCCGCGCCCTTGACGTGGCTTTAGAATCTGTTGTGGAGATTTAGGTTGGTTTCAGGGATCGGAGTAGGGTTGTGGAAGCAATCGGGCCAGCCAGAGCAGATCCAAGATGAACGACTTGCTGGCTTTCTCAGGGCGGAACAATGGCAGAGGATATGATGATCTGGAGAGCGGAGGAGGTCCCAGTACGCAGATGGCCGACATGGGCGGGGGCGACCAGAAAATGGAGAGCTTCTTTGCCGAAGTGGAGAAGATTAAAGGGGACATGGACAGGATTAAGCAGATTTTGATTAAGTTGGTGGACGCCAATGAAGAGAGCAAGGGTGTGCACAGGGCCCCCGCTATGAAAGAGCTCCGAGGCCGCATGGATGCTGACATTGCGCAAGTGAGCAAGCTTGCAAGGGGCATTAAGGGCAAGCTCGAGGATCTTGACCGGAAGAACGCTGACAGCCGCAGGGTGAAGGGATGCGAGGAGGGGACTCCAACTGACCGGACTCGCATGACCATCACCAACAATCAGAGGAAGAAGCTCAAGGATCTCATGGGGGATTTTCAGTCTCTTAGGGAAAGAATGATGAACGAGTATAAGGAAACTATCGAGCGCAGGTACGCAATTTTCGACTTCTCTGTGGTTCTACATTCTCTCATCCCATCCACTTCCATAAAATTCGAGGCGCTGTTTGGGCATTGAGTGCATCGTGTAATGAATATTCTGAATATTACATAGCTGGTCAATTTGTGAGCTGCACCTACAAGCATGGTTTTTGGGATGTCCAATTCACGCTAGTCTTACGATAGTTTGTGGGAGTGCTGTCTAGGAATTCAGGCTTACGGTATTAACTAGTGGACGACTCTTTTTTCTTACCTAGTTTGCATAGCGTTGTCGCGCTTTTGCTGTTGTTGGTGTCGCAACTGCGTGAATGTGGGACATCGTTTACGACAGATAGTGTTTTTGAATCGCGAATTTCTAGTAAACTCGTAACTAGGACACTGATGTGTACTTGAATTGTCTTTCACACTTGCCTCAAACGCTTAATACTCGGAGATGATGTCATTTTGCAATATAGACTGTAGCTCAGAAAAGTGTTTATTTCGACCTTTGGAGACTCGCATTACCATGGCTATGGTGTCTAGATTTAGCCTACATGGCGGTGTAAGCCTCAGTTCTGCGTTCATTTCTTATTTTCTCCCGACATAGTTGATACTTAAGAACATAAGTTGTAATTATCTACCTGTCCTAGTAGTCCTTGCTTATGTACTATGCATTCACTAGTGTAATGAAATTTCGGAGTACCTTTGAGTTATTTCGTAAGTTCTGCCCCAATTTTACGTTAATGTTACTGAAACGCAAATCGTTTGAACTTTCTCTAACGGTCTGGATAGAAAACAACCTAAGGTTTTATTCCTCCTTTGGCACTATTCTTTCCGATGCCTTAGAGACTTTTGTTTTTACTTCCACGCTTTCAGTATCCGTTGTCTTACATTTTATTCTGTTTCAAGACATTTTTTTCCAGCGTTTTGTAGATTTAGATTCTTTCTATTTCGATTGTTTTGGCCATGCCCGTGTGTTGGTGTTCACAAATGGTGTTTGCTTTTATGGTATCACTTTTGCCTGTGTTAGCTTTACCCACTGGAAAGCTTGCAATTTTTAATTTTGTTGTAACGTGTGCAGATATTATACCGTCACAGGGCAACAAGCAGATGAGGAAACGATTGACCAGATCATTGAGACAGGTGAGAGTGAAACATTTTTGCAGAAGGCAATTCAGGAGCAAGGGCGAGGTCACGTTATGGAAACTATCAGAGAAATTCAAGAACGGCATGACTCCGTAAAGGAAATTGAGAAGAATCTGCTTGAACTGCATCAAATTTTCATGGATATGGCTGTGCTCGTTGAAGCTCAGGGAGAACAATTGAACAACATTGAAGCTCAAGTCAACAGGTCTTCCTCTTATGTGGAGAGGGGCACTACACATTTGAGGGTTGCCAAGCAACATCAGAGAAGTAAGCGCAAGTGGACATGCATAGCCATCATTCTCCTGATTATTCTTCTTTTAATTATTATTATTCCCGTACTGATATCGAATAAAGTAATTTGAGGAGATACATTGTGCTCTTCAAAACCATTCAAATGTCTTCAGGAATCACAGTATACAAAATATCCTACAGCTCTCTCGTAGTTGCCACATTCATTCAATTTGTACCGAGTATTGCGATACTAAAATTCTGTCGCAGTTCAGTTAGGCGGTTCCTAAGCTTTCACTATTATGCTGTCTTGCCGCCTCACAAATCCTAGTGCAGTAACAATAGCTCTTCTTTTTAGTCCTTTTGGAGAGGGAAGATATTGTGTTTGCTCCCTCTTCCTATTGGTGTTTTTCCTTCGTTGGCGTTTACCATCAACTGAAGCATTTTCTGATTATTTTCGGGACATTTTAGTATCAATAATAAAGTTCCAATTCTTTTCATGGATCACATACTAGTAGCCATCTGATTGTGGAGCTCTGGTGCTGATCCGAGTACGCACGTGTGACGAATGCTAATGATCTTCGGCATTTTTCCATGGAACTGCAGACAGTCATCTGTTGGAATTTTGCAGACTACTTGGTTGCTCTTGTTATACTCTTTTGCATCACCAACAATAGTAATTGTATTAGGAACCTCCCTGCAAGCCTTTGAGTTGCCCTACTCTCCTTTTTCTACTTGCAATATATTTTTTTTTCCAGACTTTTACATGAGTCACGTAAGATTTGCAGAAGATGTTATGCAACTTAATCTGTGACAGCGAGATGACCCAAGCCTCATGAGGTATCTGTGTAATGATCTTGGGTTGCGAAGTAAGACTCCGCATATAAGATGTTTGTAAAATGAACACATAGGAACTGGAGTCTGATTCTGCCGTAACGACTCTCATTGTCGGGTTCATTTCGATTTGGAATCTGAGATTCTAAAATTAGCAAACCATATCAAAAAGTTGCCTACTTGCCAGAGTCATAGAATGAACAACCGCCATTTTAAAATTCAAATCTATTTATATATAAACGCCAATTTCTTCGTCATTCACATCTTGGCGATAACATACCAGTGAAGGAGTTCGTCAGGTCAAATTTCAGCTTAGAGGGGGAATCTTGCAGATAAAATACGAAAGCGCACTAATATTCGGGCAACCAAATTAAGTCCAGGGTTGTGAAACGTATGAGCCATCTCTCACATCGGAATATTGTTCATCCAGGATGACAGCGACGACGCTCCCGACCAGGTTTCTTTGATTTGCCATTTGCTTCACTGGGGAGCATATCCCAGCCGACAACCATGTCGAAGCGCGGTATGTCTCCAACTGCTACTCCCAGCCTCATTGTTGTGTCTTTTTTCTGTCTTATTATTTGATGCATTTCGTCAGCTTTTGTATTACCGGAATCTTTTACTGTATGCTAGCCGCCTCCCATCGAATTTTGTTGATCCTCTCGTTCACACTGGCAAGCGAGACTCGGTGTCATTCGCAGTGGAGGGGTTAATTACCGAATTTCTATAAACCAGTGACAAATGCTTCTGGTTTATTGTGATCTAAATTTCAAGGTTGTGGATTATTGTCAAATGATGGCCAAAATGTGAAGCCCCGGTTGGTGGTTTGCAGGGAGAGGAGGTTCCTCTGGGAACAAGTTCCGTATGTCATTGGGTTTGCCTGTGGGCGCTGTAGTCAATTGTGCTGATAACACGGGCGCCAAGAATCTCTATGTCATCTCAGTGAAAGGAGTGAAGGGACGTCTCAATAGGCTTCCAGCAGCTGCTGTTGGCGACATGGTGATGGCTACGGTGAAAAAGGGTAAGCCTGATTTGCGAAAGAAGGTCATGCCTGCTGTAATCGTTCGTCAGCGAAAGCCATGGAGGCGCAAAGATTGCGTTTTCATGTATTTTGAAGGTATGGAAAATGCCTGCCGTTTCCTCTGCCTACTACGCAGTTAATTATTCTCCATCTAACTATAAAGTTCGTATCGTAGGGTGGCGTTCAGATTATAGGAACCAGCATGCATATATGATGTCATATTGCAGTTTCAACTTTAACTTACGTGAATTGTTAAGGATACTCGCCTGAACGAATTCCTTTCCAACCCAAGTGTTTAACTTAAGCTTAAGTCAGATCTTCACGTCGAGCTTCTGGAGTAACATTGCCAAGAATTGGATTTAATTGCTCGTCTGTTCCTCATTTATTTGCTTTGTTTCAGTATCTGGTTGATGAATTGCTTGCGATTACGATTGCTATCGACTGTCATTGATGGTTTCTGTATCTTCAGATAATGCCGGAGTAATTGTGAACCCCAAGGGAGAAATGAAAGGTGAGTGCTCTAGTCCTTTTGGTTCATAGATTGTGAATGTGTATCTCGATTCGTCATATTATTTATTTGCATAAAAGCTGAAGGCACACTCTTAAACTCGGTTTATTTTTTATTTTTTTATTTTTTATTTTTTTTTTAACTTAATTTTGTTCTTTTTGTGTCTTCAGGTTCTGCCATTACAGGTCCAATTGGAAAGGAATGCGCAGATTTGTGGCCCAGGATCGCTAGTGCTGCGAACGCCATTGTTTGAGTGTACTCACGCGGATTCGCTATCCTTGGATGCCTCTGTCCTGCAGTAGAAAGTTTTTGATTTATATTCTTTTTCATAATTTAAGAATTATACTCCACTTTTTCAGTTCCAGACTTGCGCAATGTATTGTGTCTTCGTGTGTCCTCAATCTTCCACATGCCTTTCCTTTGAACAAACATCAAATGAAATCATCACAGCTGCCCGTTGAGCTCTTCCACAAAACAAAACACCTCAACTCAGATGAAATATGACACTACTTGGTATCCACTCCATCTCAATCATCAACGTGACACAGTATAGTTGTGTTTCTGATCCTCTCAACATCTCTATGGCGAGTAGTGGTACCCTAGGTTGAAGTGGTACTTATACTCAACTGTGTAATAGTAACACGGCCATTGTGCACGATAATAATCCTGTCTAACTACTTCACACATGTAGTCCGTTGGAGCACATCACTACTCTTTTTAGAAGACGTTTACAGTCTCCTCTATTCGTAGCACGTTCAAACGACGCTGCGGAGCATTAGTGAGGTTTGCAAATGTCACGTCCGGAGCATGCTTGGTAGAGCTTTTTGTTCAATAACTAATTGTATGCTGCATGAATCACATGCTTTGCAATGTCAGACGGTCATCACCAACCAGTATCTGTTGAGCTGTGCTTGTAATTGACAATGGTCTTGTAAAATACAATCCACATCTACGATTGGTGACTGTCGTGTTTAAAGAAAACAAATCTATTCTAAAATCCTGATTGTTTCAATACTTAATTAGTATAAATGACCCATTTAAATTTCTTGTGAAATTCTAGTATTGTAAATACATGTTATTTTTTCTCATATCATCCATATCTAAATCCCAGAGTAAGCTTTGTTATTATCTTGTAATTCTTTGTAGCATCTTATTACTTTAGAAATTCAAATTTAATAAAAGTAAAGTTACAAATTTAGGGTAGTATAAGTACTATGTGCATAAGTTAGTTGCCTAATCTTTGATATTGAATATATATATATATATATATATATATATGAAAACAAAGAGAGCTTTCAAGAGAAGAAGACATAAGTATTCATTTCGGTTTGCATATTAGGTATTTAGTACATACTCTAAGTTTTTAATTTCATAACAAAAAAAAAGGATCTTCTTAGAATGTACTTTGTAGAATATGTTAGACATTACTAATATAAAATGTATTTATAATTTTTGTAAAAATATATATTCTTAAACTTATCGTCATTGTTATTTTCTTTAACCATTAAAATTAAATATGTGGTAATTAGAGTACAAAAAAACATCTTAAGATAAGACTATGAATTAAACAAAGCTACTAGAGTACTAAAATGACTAGAACACTAGAACATTTATAACAAATTTTCATCAATTAACTTATTTAAAAATTAATGTTTAGCTTCTAAACTTCATTTATTTGTTATTAAATAGATTAAAAACATAAAAATATGCATATTATTTTTCAACTATGTAGATTTAATATTTATTTAGATAATTATATATATATAATTATCTAATTATTTATATTATTATTATTATTGTATTTATTTATATAATTATAAATATATATATATATATATATATATATATATATATATATAATTGCATCATGTCTTATTTCTTAAATACAATCACATTTATTGAATTTTTTTTTTCTAAATTTATTTTATTTATAAAATTTAAAGAATTTATTTTAAAATTATTATTAGCTATATGTATTCTATATTTTTTTTTTATCAAAGTTCAAAATATGTTATGATCAAATAGATACAATCACTTTAGAAAAACATTGATCCAATAATAATGTCATAAAAAAATTACTATATTAATGTATATATATATATATATATATATATATATATATAAGAAAATATTAAAATGATCTACTCTTTTAGTAAATCAACCCACTTAGTTGTAACTATGATTAGAAAAATGGATTATGTCCAAAAATCAACATTAGATTTATAGCCTTCATCTCAACTTCCTTCATTTTTAACCTTGCTATTCTTAATTATAGCCCTCATTTCTACCTACATCATTTCCACTTATCCATTTTTAACCATAAAAAAGGACTGCAAAGAAGTGCACGCTTGTAGGCAATCTTCAAATTTAGGGGATAATAAATTGAAATTATTTGATTCATCTCATAGATTATAATTAATATTCTTACAAAGGAATAGTGCAATAGTCTATATCTATCAAGGATATTCAAATAGATAAATTCTTTGCACTATATTGAAAGGTTAGAATAACAATAAATGAAGTTTAAGTGTATTTGGCTCAAGTATAAGATGCAAAAGAGAATGCAATGGTCCAAGCGGTTTGTATTTGGAACATACTTCAAGCCATGGACACAAATACTATAGAGAAAAAATATGCAAAAGAAAGTATGCATAGAGCTAGAAAAAAAATGTAAAAAAAAAATCATGGTTCAAGCTTTAAAAAGTTTGATTATTATATGTGTGTTTTTTAATTCAATTACGTTATATACAACCTTCATCATCTAAGTCTAAATTTTAAAAAATAATGATTCTCAAGGTAACTTGTATACCCTTTCACAAAGAATTAATGGATCTATATGCTACAAAAAGAAGCAAAAAAAAAATCATTTTCAAATAAGCTCCCACATCTTAGATCAAGTACTACTACTCAAAATTTATAAAGTTCACATAACTTATTCTTCTACAAACTTCAAAATCTTCTCATATGTCCAAGTTCAAAAGATTTAATGTAAGTTGTGGATGTTTGGAGAATAATTTCACCACTTGTTATAGTATTCAAGTCCACACCATCAATATGATTAAAGAAGTTATTGGTGCTAGTCTCTCTTGATTCTATTGCCATAAATTACTTGACAATCAAATTATTAATATTGTTCTATCACCTTGTAGATAATTATCATCTTAAAGGTGATATGATGCCTAAATTCTTTAGTCTTCTATAACATAAAATTGGTAAAAATTAAATCTATAAATTTCAATATAGATTTAAATCTCCATTGCTATTGGCCAAACAACATGCCCAATGCGCTTCAAAGAAGCTTGGCTGAGGTCTTATGAGGAATTCGGATTATTGTTTTGAGAGAATTTGAACTTAGAAGGCTAAGGTCAAAAAGTTTAGATTTTTGGCTATGGTTTTGGTACAAATTTTGGATGATTTGGAGTTTTTATAAAAAAGATGCATGCACTCAAAGTAAAGGTGTCAATTTTATATCTATTATCATTCTTCTGGACATAACGCTTACATATAAAAAGAAACTAAGGATTATCAATTGGGGTTGAAGAGAGCACTTTTTTGACTACACTTTTTATGTATTTTTTGATGAATTTTAACCTAAGATGAAGGAATTATAGGAAGTTGAAGTCAACACTTGCAATCTAAGGGTAGTAAGTGATCCTATTTACTAGTGGTAGTGTTTTAAGCTATATATTGAGTAATTTGACAAGATTTTGGCTAAAAAATTCTAAGAATGTGTATTATTATGTTACTAAACTTTATATGCAAATTTTGTGGCATTTAAGATTTGGACTTTTGAGATATAGAGAAAATAGTTCTTGGATGCTTGTAAATTAGGATTTTCACCACTTACTAGGATTTCTAAGATGCCAAATGATTTGTAGTAGATTTATAGTTCATTTATTTTGTAATAAAGCTTAAGATTAAGTTATATATTATCTAGAAATTTGAAAAAAATTGAATGGTTAAATTAAGTGATATGAATTTCTTAAGTTTAGAGAAAATAAATTCTTTGCAAGAGAAAAATATTTTAAAAGGGTTTTGCAACAATTTGGACATTTTATGTAAAGTAAAGGGGGTTTTGGGAGACAAGTCTTTATATATATGTTAAAGATAGAGATATGGAGCTATAAAAAAATTATGATTTAAAGATGGATTTTTGTAAGAGGATTATGGATTTTCTTTGAGCTTATTAGAAATTAAGCTTACTGGCAAATAATTAGTTATGATTTGGTATAGCGAAGGATGTTAGGACATTTCTAGATGCTTTAGAAAGCCTTATGTATAAAGCTTCTTAAATATAAAAGGATTTTATCAAAAATATATATTTTGATTCTCTATTTCTTTGGCCTTTTTAATAAATATACATCACATATTGGAACTTGTACAATAAATTAAAGCTTAATTCTCTACAATTAGGTACCCAATGTATTTTTAGATAGAAAATCATACCATACAATAGTAGATGCCTATTACAAGAAACAACTTTATTTTCATATTGGTGATAAGATGTTGTTACTTCATCATAATATTAAAATTATTTGTCCTTGTAACAAGTTGGATTACCATAGACTTAGACCATTTTCTATTTGCGAACATATCAATCCAATCATTTATCAATTTCATCTACTAGTGATTTTGAAAATTTATTCCATGTTTCTTGTGTCTTTTTGGAGCTGTATAAGATACTGAATATTCCAAGAAGAAGACAAATACTATAGCCTCTCATAGAAGTGGATAATAATAAAGAATTATAGGTAAAAGAAGTCTTAGAAATGAGGTAGTGTTAACTTAGGTTGAAATATCTTATTCATTTGTGCGGATACAATATTAGCAAATGTACATGGAAGTTAGTAAAAAAATCTTATAAATGCAACAAAGAAAATCAAAGCTTTTTATCAACAATATCCATCTAAATCAAGATAAAGAATAACAAATCTTTGCTATAAAAGAAACTAAATTTAAAAAAGATTACATTCTATCTTCTAGCCTTATTTATAATTTTTTATAATTATATTATTAAAGAGATAAGAACTAATTTCTATTAAATTTAATCGAAGAGCCATCATTTCTTGACTTATTAGATGAAATATTGCAATTATCATAGCCTTTAAGATGACATAATAGAGAAGAAGATCTTCAAGAATGACATGTTTTTTCTTGAATAGATGGCTAGTTACAATGCATTTGGTATTACGACCTAGGAAGAAAGTCTTGATGTTTGGTGATTTAATTAGAGATAAGAATAACTCTTGATGGTGTTACAAATGTTTTATTTGAAAGAAGTTATGAAGCTCTCAACAATGATTAAATAACAAGGTGGTTTTTTTACCTAGAATTGAGATATTATTGATGGCTAGGAGGACCTAT